ATCACTAACAGGTAGTTCCCTGCAGGTATTTGTTAATTACTTGTCCTGCGAGGCCCTTGAGATCAATGAAGCCATTTCCGCAATTTTCGCTTATCGGTCCAACCTTCTTTCTACTTTACATTAAGGATCTGTCTAAAAGTATACTCCGGTCATTTATGAATATCTATGCTGATGATACAACGGTTGAGGGGTGGACCATCAAAAAATTAGAAGACCAGTGTTTGACAAATGATATCTCCTGTCAGGAGATCACAAAAGGATGAGCGATCATCATTTCAACATAAAGCTAAATATATTCTTATTGTTCAGAGTAGAGTCCAAAGCGTGATAAAATAACTTCGTAGAATTCCAGTAAGATATCATTAATCATTTCTAAGATACAACGCTTCAAACCTTAATCTAACAATTGGAAAAATTTGCTCTTACATGACTTTGACAATTTTGCTGTTACACCCGGTATAAATATATGTGTGTGCGTATACTATTTTGACAATGTGTGTATTAGTGTGTTTTACTAGTCTTAGCATGTATGCGTGTGTACTAGTTTAACCTTCATAACTGTCCTTTTCTCAAATTTCAGTTTCGTAAACAACCCTAATTTAAGCTTGAACATTCTGAAACAGCAACAAATATTGACTTTATATATATATATATAAATATATATATATATATATATATATATATATATATATATAATATGTAATGCACTTCACTTTATATTACAATGAATCATTCATACAAAAAGTAAATTAGTAAAGTTAATGATATAAAATGGCGAAATCCCTTCGCTAACAAAATTTTAAAGATGCATTAACCTGCTAATCATTAGGTTAATGCAACTTATACGTAATTATTGATGTATTTATATGGATGAAATGAGATCGAATTAAATATAAATTCTAACGTTCATAACAAACATTTAAAAATAGGGCTCATTACAATGGTAGAACAGTATACTTGATTACTCCTGTTGTGTTGCATAAAATAATAGAATTTATTAGATAAAGAATTGTCAGGTAGAGGCTAAGAAGAATTCTGTCGCAAACTGCAAGATAGCGGCGAACACGTTCAGAAATAACAAAGCTATCAGCAAAATACAATGATTACAAATAGTTTAAAGCGAGTGAAGACTGTTAAACCCGAAGAGGACTCTCTCCTTCGCCAGCTCTCGTAGACTGATTCTACAGAATACCAATTCACATCTTTTATGTGTTGTATCTCTTCAGGATGTAGGCGATCATGGCTGTCGACTTCGCCCTATCCCTTGTAGTTCTCAATATATTTTGTCCTTTTGCCACTCCTCCCAGAACCTGTTCTGTCATCCACTTGCTTATGCCCACTAGGTATGTCACGCGTTGCTTTCCCTTTTCTCACTTTCCCTCTGTCCGTTCTGTGAGTATCAGATTTTCCAAGCCCTCCTTTCTCATTTCAGCTGCTTCTTCTTGATGTTAAGTATAAGATTCTTACTTGTTTGCATTCTCTCCAAAACCTCGTCGTTGCTCATATGTTCGGTTCATGGTATCCCTCGCATCCTTCTGTAGAACAGCACCTCGAGTCTCTTCTTCATCTTTGAGGAGACCGTTCAACATACCCTGGTGTAAAAGAGGACAGATACAAGGTAGCAGTTTAGTACTCTTTTCTTTGGTGCCAACGAAACCCTTCTGGCTCATAATACACTGCCTAGTTTTTGGAAGGCATCTTCGGATCACAGCTTCGCATTTATCGTCCTCTGTCAGAACACTTCCCAGATATTTAAATTTCCGCACCTCTAAATCGCATTTTGGGCTCATCCTTTTACTGATGAGCAGGCCGTCTGTCTCTTTTGTAGTTTATACATAGTCCCTTCTTCTTGCTCTCCTTCGATACTTTCTGTAAGAAGTTTTGTAATTTTCTTTCCGTGTTTGCTATCAGCACTGAGTCATCTGCATAACTAATGTTGTTAAGATTGTGGCTGCCAGTGATGAATCTTGGTAGAATTTTTAGTTCTGTCAGAATTCCTTCGCTGGTTGACGCCCATATTTATTTTGTCTATCTGCTGAACTCATTTCCTATCCGGATGCCGGCCCAAAGTGGAACTAACAATATAATGAAAATGCTGACTTTTCATAGAACTTTAAACAAAACTTTGAGATAAACTTCCGTCAATACATGAAATGTGATTTTTCTTTTGTAAAAAAAAGAAATCCATTAGCTGAAATGTTGTTTTAAAAATAAGATTTTATAAAATTAAACCGAGAGAAACGCAACATGTTCAGTCAATGAATGCCGAATATTTACTTATAAAAAAGAAATGGAAAATCTCCACATTAATATTTGCATTATTAAAATCGATATTTATTTCGTCTTAATTGCATTTTCTTATGTATTCTTTCATTGTGTAATAATAGAATTTCTTTAGGAATTATTGTCAACCATTATTAGCCTATCAATATTATTTTCTTGTGTCTTAATTATACCTGTTTTATACTTCGCGTTGAACGTCATTTTTAGTGATTGGAATTTCTAACTGAACACTTTATTTCGTCCACTGGGAGAGATTATTCTAGTTCCACGTGCAGTGCCTCTTCTGGATGTCTCAGTTATATCCCTTTTAAATTCGCTCCCAAGTTTCGCTTCGCCACTGCCGTAGCTAGGAATATTTGACTCACAACTGTTTAGGCCAAGACATTAGATCCAACCAACGCATTTATCCACTCGTCCATGCGTCCCAACAGCCGAAACGTCGTGAATATGGCAATAAAAATGAGACCAACAGTCCGAACAATGTAATTTTTATATATAAAGTACAATGAATGTGTGCGTGTTTGTGCGTGTGTGTGTCCATACAACTCCTCCGTTCCCACTTGTCCGATTTCAATGATTCATAGTTCATTCAAAAGCCCTAGAAAAGTTAGGCACAGGGAACGATTTTCGTTGAGCTCAGATTTAGGGTTGCGAGTTTAAAAATATATATTAATATATTATACTAGCCATATGTCTTTGATGTCATGGTTCACAGGGAGTGAATCTTATTTTCTGTTTGTATCCAAATAGTTTACATTTGGTACGGATATCTAATACAAGTAAAATGCAAATTTCAATCATTTTCTGCACTATATAAGACAATAGTTCTAAACAGAACTATTTTTGATATGAAAATCAAAACAGTTCTCGAATAAAAAAACAGCAATGAAGAATAGTAAATTAATGAAATATTCTTTTAAAAATCAATTTGCAAATTATTTAAACCTGGAAAGTAATATTGCCTACAAGATAAGATAATACTGTATAATCTGTCTTTAGGCAGAGTGCGCTCAGGGGCTTCTCTGTCTAACAGTCACAACTGAGAAAATTATACTAAAGAGGTGCCCAACCCTGGGGAACAGCTGCCCGAGGCCGCGCCTTTTCATTACACTAGAGAGAAGGATCAGTGCACGCACCGAGGCCAGCGTAACCGACGGTTGCGGGGAATCTGGGAATTTTTGTTCCTTGCCTGGGTGCACGCGATCGAGCTCCCCACATTAAACCGACCTTGTGTCACAACCTAACCTCGTAGGGGGTCAAGTAAATACCATTCGCTCAGCGGCTTCTGTGTCAAAGGACAGAGGGGAAACTGAGAAAATAATACTGAGAGGTACCCAGCCCTAGGGTACAACTAACCGAGGCCGCGCTCTCCTACTGTACCCAGAGGGGGGATCAGTGCCCGTACCAAGGCCAGTGCAAACGTCGATTGCGGGGGCTGTGGGATATTTTTGTCCCTTGCCCCTGTGTACGCGCTCGGGTCTCCACATTAAAAAGACCTTGTGTCACATCTCGTCCTCGTGGCGGAACGAATAAACACCGTAAATTACTATAAAGTGGCCTTTTAACCCCATAATTCGTGGAGAATTAAACTCCATTTTCGCATTTATCCATATAGAAGATAAAACATCTAGCACCTCTTAGTATATTTACATCTAAAAAATATGGATCTAGGAATCGATTAAGCATTAAAAATTATTCATATTCGATCTGTATAATTTTCAATACATCTAATGACTAAGGAGATATTTGGGAAAAAGTTTGAAAAATACGGATTTTTAACATCTCATAATCAGACAACCCTGAATTTTGTGACAACATGTCGGAAGATTTTCTAGCCATCGCTCGCTTACAATACATTGACGGCATTATGTCTGACACGATAAAACACCCAGTTATTATTCAAATTGAGGATAAGGTTATTGCACTTGCAGGATGCAATTTGTCAGCCTATAATTTGCCAAGACCTGTTAGAAATGATGAAGTAATGAATAGAGAGATATTCAGTGAGACTTCATGCAACATAGATGAACCAACAACACAAGGCCAGGAGCAAAGCGACTGTATTGGTAAGCTTGCTAGCAACCGGCTAGTAATGTAATTAATTACAATGCCTCATCTCGGAAATATAGACAGTTATTTTTAGTAAATATTCACATTTAAGTAGACTATCTGTTTATTAAAGAATATATTTATTTTGTCTACCTGCCTGAATATTTGAGAAATCTTATTAATGAAAAATATTCTCCCTCAGCGGGAATGGATATCAATTAAAAATGACGTTTAAAGTGAGAAAGACAGATCAATAATTCAAAAAAATACATTACTTCTTTGGAAATTATTATCGATGTATTTGATGCAAGAATTATATTTTGAAGTATTTTTCACTCATGACTTATTTTTGATCAGAATTTCTTTCGTTTTAATCTTAAATTCTCTAAGCATTTTTTGTATAAATCGAATTTCTTAAACAATTAATTTATTGACTCGTACTTTACGGCTTATCAAACCTTTTCAGTTTATCTAAAATCCGAAAATATTTTTAAATTGAAATATTTTTTTTAGATAATAAAGATTTAGGGATACAATTCTTACTAATTAATCTGTAACTTGGGGAGAAGAAAGGGATTTGTAAATTAAATATAACAAACCCGACTGGAATTGGAACTTTGCTCGCCAATTAACAATTCCGAGATATTGCACCAACCGGACATCCATGATTACAGGACCTAATATTCCCAAGCTATCATCCATAAGGTACTGAACAAGATCGAGATTGCTTAACTTCGATGATCTTACGGGAACCAGTGTTTCAACGTGATACGGCCGTAAGCCGAATTACTTGAATAAGTTTTTCTTAAACATTATTAATCTTTGACTGGTGGTTTTTTATTCAGGTTCCATTTTCCTTTGCTCTTTATTACTTTTAATATATTACATGAAATGTTCGAATTACTTAGAATAAGCATTTTTAGTATTATTTAATTAATCTAAAGTTTACGCATGTATCTATGAGTAAGTGAGAGAGCGTATGTGTGTGAGAGTGTGTCTGTGTGTATGCACTTTTCAGCACCCCCTAGTAGATTGTGTGACAGCTATATAGATCAACTGGTTCAATCTTGAAGTCTGCCTGATTCCTAACAGCCATTCTTCCCGCTCTTAATCAGATATATCAAAGACGTTCTTTTACTTCTGATCGAACCTGCGCAGAAAGGTCAACACACGAGGCCACATCGCACGTCTTGCACAGGCGTAAAGCTGTGACTTCAGCTGATCCGTACTGGCTGCAAGGGAGAAGCGTGCAAGTTAAAGTTCACCGACAGTGTACACTGTTTCACCCCATTCACACCGTGTGTGCAGATGGAACCACAGAATTATGACAACAGCATAAAAGTCACTCCATTTATCAGTGTCGTAAAATATTTGGACTGGTTAAATTTATGCTTTTCTCTAAGCGTGCGTTACATTAAGAATTTTAAAACTGATTTTTGAAACATCTTTACCATTGTCCTGAATTTTCCTTATAAAATACCCTGTTAAAGAATGAACTTATTTTCTATGCCCTACGAGATAATCGCTTGAAAGGTCGCAAACTTTCTGATACCGCCAAATAATCCGAGGTTTCTTTCATTTTCTTTTGAATCATAATTCATTTCAGTTTTGGGGACCCAATCGTAATAACGAATGTATTATCATAATTCACTGTTCTTTCAGGGTTTCATACTGTGATGATAGGTTCCGCACGTTCGTCACTGTACAACTGTGATGACATCCAATGGTCTGTTGCATGATTATATGCAACCGGTTAGCTATGAGTTGTGGATTCCGGGGATGGAATCCGGCACAAATAAATAACAACGCCAATAATAGAAATAGGAAAATATGTGTATTAATGTAAAAATACAAAGTGAAATATAGATTAGTAGTCCAGGAATGCGGGTTAGTAGAAAACTATATTTACAAGTCTCTGTAATTGAAGCCGTAATTATCTCTCTTTCTGGACTCTCGTATAACTCTGGATGAACACCCTGTGTCGACATCCTTCGTCACACTATCCCTCCGTAGTATAAATATACATTGGACGAGTCCAATCTGTGTACAAGGGGCGAGCCCCACAATACTATGTTCACAGGTTTGTCTCCTTGGCTGTGATCGAATTCAACAAAGAATACCAACAAATGCTTTCTAAGACACTCTTTGTGAAATAGCGATCAATAAGATTTCTCACTTAACCGCGGTCTTCCTTCGCCTTCCAGAAGGCAAAATTGGGTATTTTACTAACATCCGGCCAAGGAAAAGAAAGCCTAACATTCACTGGCCGCTCTCGGCGACTGCTGAGTCACTCACTGCCCGCTGATCCCTTCCTCGTTGACTGTCACTGACTATTCATTATATGGGGACCGGCTGGGGTCGCAACTTGCTGAAAATTTTGGGTACCCTGGTGTACTTGTGAGCCAGCCAAAATGAGCTGACTCATTTTATAGTTCACCAATAGAAGTGTTAACCAATCAGAAGGCTCAAAATATTTAATGCGACGTGTATAAAGGCGGCCATTTTTTTCCCGAATATGCACTGTCAGCCTTTGAATCAGTCGTTCACTTTTGAACAGACTGTTCGGTTAAACTCTCTTCCTACGGGCGGGAGGAATCTGAAGGAGGCTACGCCGAAGGGCGGAGTCTCCTTCGGGGAGGTAAAACCGGCCCTGAACCCGTTTATGCTGGTTCAAATGGGCTATTTTTTGGCCGAGCCTAATGGCTCGGGAATGCCCACGTTAAAAAGGCCTTGTGCCACATGACACCCTCGTGGGTGGGTGACTGAATATCGTCAGCCTTTGATATCGAAGACTGAAGAATTACGGAACAGCTGCTGGTGGTATTGGCGATATAGTCAGATTCAGTAGAGTGTCTGACTCGTGAGTGTTAATCTTTAACGTTGTTTTGTTGAACAGATTACGTACTGCGCTGTATTCTATATTCATAGAATATGGTGAACATGGTCAATACACCTTCCCTATGTTTGTGATCCTGAAAAGGAGATCACCCAAAACCTGGATGGTTGGTCAGTTTTTTAATGGACTCTACTTTTATGATAATCTAAAATCTCTAACAAAATTTTGTTTGTCAATATATGGACCGTAGATGAAATTCCTAAGAAACTCTGGTACTCAAATTTGGATAAAAGAAAAAAAAGTATCTATCTTTTTATGTCCTAAGTGTCTGTGAGAAATCGTATTTTTACAATGACAGGTGATTATATAATGTGTTATATACTGCAATGTTCAACACAAGAGAAGTCGATTGACAAAGATTAAGAACTGATTCCAAGAACTGAGTTTCATGGAAGAGATGTTTTGTCAGGAGTGGGAACATTTGGCTATTATTAATTTAGATTTCTTAAAACGCAAAAAAAAACACTAAATGCACACTTATATGCCCAGCAACTGCAACGTGTCCATAATTGTTTGGTGACAAAGCACTCTGCGCTCGTCAATATGGAAAATGATATCATCCATAAGAATGCAAGGACGCATACATCTTGAATAACAGACGAACGCATTTTGAAACAGGGTTGGTCTATTTTATCGAACTCTCAATTTGCAGCTAACTTGCACCAATTGATTATTACTTATCTTGCTCGCTGCAAAATGCACTGATGTAGAAAACATTCTTTAATTAAACCATCTTCCTAACGCATTCACAAAAACAGATGAGATTAGATAGACATTGACAATTTAAGCATTTTATCGCGCATCCAAAGCACTAGAATACAACGATACTGCATCTATTCCCAAGGCCAGATAACTAGTTGTGGGGTATGCTGATGACATAGGTATTCATAGTTGGAATAAAAGTGAACATCTATCAAGTGATCCATGAAATGTGACTCAGGATAAATATTTCCAAAACAGAAACTGTGATATTGAGTTGGAAGGAAAGCAAAAATGACACCTACCCCGAAACCATCATAAAATTCAGAATGTGGAATTGATAAATATTAAACAGTTCAGGCATTTCGGCGTATGGACCAGCTATAACAAGTTAAGTAAAATAAATTGAACATAAAATTGGATGGAAATTGCTAAGAAACCAAAACATGAAACTGAATATTCTTGTCATGTTTTTAAATAGCCTCATCACAACGAAAACTTCATATGGATGTCCTGACTGTCAACAGACCCGTTCAGAAATATCTAAACTCTCAGCTGTATACAAACGCTTTCTATGATCAATGGTGAAAAAATGCTTACAGAGAATAAACCCTGGACGTTTTGGCAATATCTTTAAGCATTTTGAACTGGGAAAGAATTCTGTCTATATTTCTGTGATGAGGTATTATGACGCTATTTACATTATTCGGACTTTGTTATCATATTTATTACAAAGTTCCGGCCGTTGTACGCTCCGGTCTTCTTTAGGTAGTTGAAATGTCGAACTGAACCCGTTATTTTGCTCACTGGGGTAGACTGTTCTAGTTCCACGTGCCATGTCTAATGGATGTCAGTTATCAGTTATCTCCTATTTAATCCCCCTCTCCAACACGAGGGGAAGTGGAAAAATCAGGCGTGGATGAACACATATGGAGAGAAAAGGGAGATCACCGCTCTCTGTGGTATCAGGTTGAGATCATAGACAAAGAACACTATTGGAAAATTCTTAAATTAAGGAATCCGCACATATGCTAGGCCACAATAATATCCTGAGCCGACCAAGCATAGAAATGAATACAATATGGGAACCAGTAATAAGGAGTGCCAGAGAAAAGCGAAAATAAAAACAAAAATTATGAGCTTTGGTAAAAACATGGAATGATAACAGCAAAAATTGCAATATGAGCACTGTCAAAAATGGTTGCGGAAGACATTAGTTTTATAATACCCAGAAATTCATATACAGATGTCCTCAAGGACACATGTCACAGTGGATAAAGGCGTTGGTTAGATCCAGTGACAGGACCCAAAGAGTGTGGGTTCAATACCTGGTTAAGGTGGTGGAGGAATTGGAACAGGAGATAATTGATAACTGACATCCATTAAACATGGCACGTGGAACTAGAACAGTCTACCCCAGTGAGCGAAATAAAGAGTTCAGTTCAACATTCCAACCACGTGAAAAAGTTGTATTAAATATGGCGACAAAGATGAGGACAATAGTCCGAATAATGTAAATAGTGGGAAAGAATTGTATTAAATAAGAGAAACTCATTTAAGGACTACCAAGAGCAGTAACAACTAAAATAGATAGCACATGTAACTTGAAGAGAAAATAATAGCATCGTGATTATGTATTACATAATCACGATGCTATTATACAACATCTCTTAATATGGAAAGAGTGATAACAGCTACTGCGCTCGAAAAAGCCGTATCCTAAAAAAAATTATTAAGAGAGATTTTTTTTTAATTTCAACCAAAATTGCTACTTGGTCAGTGAATGCCAAATGTTTCTTTGTAGCGAAACAGCTAATAGTACCTATATTCAATATACTGCCGAAAACCAATTCTCTGCGAAATTAAAAGAATAGTATCTGTCTATATTTCTGAGATGAGTTATTATGTACACTATTTACATTGTTCGAGCTATCATCATCATCATCATCTTTGTTGCCATATTTATCACAACGTTAAGCGAGGGAAATTAACAGGACACCCATTAGACATGGCACGTGGAAAAATAAATGACACCCATTAGGCATGTCACGTGGAACTAGAACAGTCTACCCCAGCAAGTGAAATAAAGGGTTCAGTTCTACATTTCAACCACCTGAAGAAGGCCAGAGCGTACGACGGCGGAGACATTGTAATAAATATGGCAACAAAGATGAGGAGGATAGTC